CCCCCCCCCCCCAAAAAAAAAATTGAGGGGTCTCAAATTTGAATTTTCACGCTTTGCATTATAGGGGCCCCCACACTACTCCGACCTTTAACCTTACTGCTGCAAAGGTATGCAGTATACCTCGCGGATGCTAGCGATGGCGGCAACCGCTTGTTGGTCAACTGGACTGGCAGCCCCCTGCCTTGACAGAGCGAGGCTGTGATTTCGGCAAGCTTTGCGTTCTGATAAGTGGTCCCTGGCTGGCAAAACATGGAGCAGTTCCGAGCTGGGGATGTGGCGTCGAGTGCCGAGGGAGCAGGGTGAAGCTTGGACCGGCCAAGAAGCTGGATACTGAATTTCCCGTAAGTCGTCTGTCTAGCATAGCATTTGGAGCCCAGTATTGCGCTGTGCTACAGTGAGCTTCTATGTGCCGCGCCGTGCAACAGCATCAAATTGCTGCCTCTTTTGCCCTGCTTCCTTGCTTTGTGCTAACTACTTGACCCACGCCGAGCTTCAAACACACCCACGTCTGTGTCGTAATGTCGTGCCATGCTTCATTTTACGTGTACCCAAATCCTTACAGCCTTTGACCTGCTGCGATCTGCCGCGAGCCCCTTGGCCTGCAAAGATCCTGAAACCAAGTCCTGTGCCCCAAACTCTCCTAGCAGTGAAGTTGGAGGCTACAACGACACGGAGCTAGAGGAACTTGGAGCCCTTTCCTATGTGGAGATGGGCGAAGTGCCTTACGGTACCTGTGTCTACACTTTTGGGACGCTTATTAGGTTGAGAAGAGTCGTCTAGCTGCAGCCGCAAGGCACCAACAGCTTCGAAGTGCCGGCCGGAACCCTGCGGTCCAGTTACTCGCACTTCCTGGTCTACTCGCGCTCAGTCGGAGCCTCGGGAGGGGCGCAAGGTCTTCCGCATGGCGGAAGGTCATCATGACAGAGGTTGCTGAAGTCTTCCTTTTTTGGGGTAGTGGCTGTAGGTAGAGGCCGTGGGGGTGGTGCTTGCTGTCGCTCCGAGACCCTCGCCGAAGCCTCGACGCCGGCATTTCTGTCCTTCCTCGGCGCCGCCTTGAATGCCTCGGTCACAGAGGTCAACTTCACGGACGATGCAGCCAGGCTGCATAACCGTCCAGCTCGCAAGCCTCGGTGTGATACCCTGGCAGAATCTGACTCAGGTAGGGGTACGGGGTTTTGCCCTTTCCTGGTCGTGCAGAGGTTTCTCGTTGTGCCTGTGTCCAGCTCGTCCCCAAACCCCAACACCACCATCCTGCCGGAACAATCTGCAAGGACTTCTGACATAGTCAGGGCCCCACCAAGTTTCCGACCAACTCGACCCCTTGTTTGAACCCATAGAATCAGAAGGGCCGGAATTCCTTCGTCGCATGCCCTCACAGCCGTTGTTGCCTGCGAAGCTTTGATGTGCATTTTGCAATGGTATCGATGGCCCGAAACTTGAGAATCGCGATCCTGCTGGACCTTGGGGGCTTCAAGGCCATGCTGTCCGAGCTGCTTGAGGGCAGCAAACCCCACTTAAAGGAGGCTGCCCTGCGTTGCTTCCCTGACGACTATCCGTTCGACTACCGGAAGTGCTGCCGCGATCCCGGCAACGCGTGGTTCCGCAAGAACGTGGAAGAGCAGTGCTGGGCAGTTCAGAGCGGCATCACTTTCGAAAAGTGCTGTACCTTCAAGTTTGGACCGGGGCTTCGAGGTCTGCCTTATGCTAGCCACGCAGATCCATCTGCACCGACAGAGTTTGACCTGCCCGTTGGCCGCCTGGTTTTGAGGTCCGGCTTTGAGGAGCCTTTGGGAGACTTCTGGCCGCCCGGTTGGATTTATGCGAAGCTGACAGCAGACTTAGAAAGGGCGATTCTTGACTCTGAAGCCTTCGGCTGGGAGGCGGGAGCACAGATGCTCCGGCCTTTGCTCGAATCTCGGGCCTCGGGCAGGGCCTTGCGAATCTTTGACGTCAGCTGTGGATTGGGCTTGAGCTCCATCACGGCAGCGCGGGCAGGTCACAACGTCACAGCCACTGAGGTGTCGCTGGATTTGATCCGGACGGCAGGGCGGAATGCGAAGCGGAACGGTGCCCGGATGCGCTTGCAGCGCTGGGACTTCTTCCGAGCCGTGCCAGAAGGTTGGCGTTCTTCTCCGTCGCAGTCCAAGGAATACGACCTTTGCCTGGTGGATATCGGCTGGGCCAACCTCCGCTTCCGGGAATTCCAGATGGGCAGAGAATCGAAGATGCCAATGTCGTCGGCAATGTCGGTATCGGCGTGGCCCAGCGTGGAGAAGGTGCTGAGGGGCGCCTTGCTGCATTTGCAGCAGCTGGGAGGCTGTCGGCTTCACGCCTTCGTCGCCGCCTCGCAGGTCGTCTCCGAAGAGGGTTTCTACGTGGATGGCCACTTTGGCTACGCGAACTTCACGTTGGAACTCCTGCAAAGCCTCGCAAGCTTCGCCACGGCTTTTGAAGGTCGCATCAGGCCGAGGTGGCCAGCGGTGAGCCCACTTGGCTTCCTGGAGAAGGTGGGATGGACACCTCCAATCTGGCACCATCTCATCCTCTGGTAGGAACAACTCAGGACAGGCCACTGAGAGATGCCAAAGCCGTGAGACTCGTCAGTTTCGAGCCTGTTTGGCTCGATCTGCCGCCTCCAGCAGGACAAAAACCCAAGCCCAAGCAAACCTCTTCATCCTGAGGCCCAAGCCCATTCATCGGGGGTTCCAAGAGAAAGGCCAGTGTCTAGTCATCCCAGGACTTGGACCTTGGCGACCTGGGTGGCGAGCTGGTCTGATGCCCGGTTTTTTTGTGTGAAGCCCAGGTAAGAGCTCTGTCGGCAAAGGGTGACGATTCTACAGGGCTGTGGCAACGGGTTTGGGGTCCAGCGCTGTGGAATGGTGGTTGGTACACTTCCTGTCATGTCAGGGATCGCGAGTACATACAGTCTCCAAGCTGAAGCGTTCAGCTGAAGTCTCACACCCCACCTCACTGCCTCTCAGTTTGCCGCCTCTTGCCGAGGTTTGGACGAAGCCTGCAGTGCTGGGCAAGGTTGTAGGCTACAACATCTACCTGGGCGTGGCTTGGCATCACCACGCCCGCTTCACTTCCCTTCAGCGTCGACTTCTCTTGACCTGTGCTCATTGGCAAGGCTCAAAGGCCCTGTTGGCAAGGGACCCCACCTTCAAGCACACGGTCTTTGACCGCGGACCGCAGTAGTAGACTCATTATACTTGTCAGGGCGGCAGGGACTTTGAAAAGGCTTGAACAAGCACGCCCGAGCGCCAAGTCGCCACATACTGTACCAGAGAGCCATCAACATCACGAATCCCGAATGGTTTGCCTCGTTCAGGATAGCGATGCATCTGGCTCTGTTCGATCCTCGTTACTCACGGCGCAAACTGCTGCATGGCTGCGCTTGTTCGCCTGCGGCAATCCCAGCGCTCTCTCGGTCGGTTTCGCTTGCGTCATGATAGGCGAACAGCCTTCTGTGCTAGGTAGGTTAATGGCAGAGCCTTCTGCCCTCGTTGTACGCGATTGGGAGCTTGCGCTCGATGCCGTACACCTGCCCAACACGACTATTCTTTACAGTGGAAGGAACATAGCATCTGACATTGAGAAGACTTGACAGATATGATATGATGTAGCGCTCCGGGCTGCCATGATGAAATCTAGGACCGTGGCAGGAACATGAAACCAGTCTTGCTGGTTGTTTCTCTGTGTGTTGGAGTGTGTTTTGACGAATGGTCGTAGCCAGCCTTGTCTCGGTTCTTGCCCGGATGATGGGCACCGGCTTTCTGGTGGCTGATCTAGATTGAACTTGAACTGTTTGCTGTTTCGAGGTGGGCAGTAGCCAGGGTAGATCAGCATCATGCCATCGCGGCAGCTTGAGAGAGGCCACCCTTTCCCTGACCTCGACTTGAATCGCAAGGCCTCGTCCACAAGCTTCGTTATGCCGGAGAATGTGGCCACACTGACATACAGGCCTCGCGCCGTACATTTATCTGGGGCTGGAAGTGATAGTTCTCCGTAACCTGGCGTCCGATGCGGAAGCCTCATCAGGGGGGTCACTGCCACCCCCGCCCCCTCCCCCCTCCTGTTCCCAAGGGGGGAGGGACGTACCACCACCCCCCCGCCCCCCCCACAAACACAAGCAGCGAAGCTTGGGGGGACGTACCACCACCCCCCCGCCCC